AAATATCAATAACCTCAGATACACAGGTGGCACCACCCTTATCACAGAAAGCAAAGAGGAACTAAAGAGCCTCTTGATGAAAGTGAAAGAGGAGAGTGAAAAAGCTGGCTTAAAACTCAACATTCAGAGAACGAAGATCATTGCATCCAGTCCCATCACTTCATGGCAAATAGATGGGGAAACAATGGAAACAGTAAGAGACTTTATTTTGGGGGGGTGGGGCTCCAAAATCACTGCAGATGGTGACTGCAACTATGAAATTAAAAGATGCTTGCTCCTTGGAAGAAAAACTATGACTAACCTAGAGAGCATAATAAAAAGCAGAGGTGTTACTTTGTCTAGTCAAAGCTATGGTTTTTCCAGTAGTCATGTATGGATGTGAGAGATGGACCATAAAGAAAGCTGAGCACTGAAGAATTGATGCTTTTGAACTGTGGTGTTGAAGAAGACTCTTGAGAATCCCTTGGACTGCAAGGAAATCAAACCAGTCCATCCTAAAGGAAATCAGTCCTGAATATTCATTGGCAGGACTGATGCTGAAGCTCCAATACTTTGGCCACCTGATGTGAAGAACTGACTCATTAGAAAAGATCCTGATGCTGGGAAAGATTGAAGGGAGGAAGAGAAGAGGAAGACAGAGGATGAGATGGCTGGATGGCATCACTGACTCAATGGACATGAGTTTGAGCAAGCGCTGGGAGTTGGTGACAGACAGGGAAGCCTGGCATTCTGCAGTCCATGGGGTTGCAAGGAGTCGGACATGACTGAACAACTGAACTGAGGGATAATCAAGTTGTTCTATTGTAACCTTAAAGTGATGATGCCTTGGAGGAAACAGTTTTGAAAGGTTCTTTCTAAAGGGAATATGACTAGTTAATGTGTTTCTACTGGCATCAAAATTCATTTGAGAGGCTCCATGTGACTCCAGTCACTCCATGTGACTGGGGTCCATCAATAGACTTTGGGACTTTAATCAAATGGGAACCTTAGGATTGAAAGGACCTCAGAAGTCCTCTAAAATCCAGGGCTCCCCAAACTTTCCCAAGGATGAGATTCACCTGGATCAGCTTGTTTAAAAAAATCCCCAGCCCAGACATACTGAGTTTCTGCCTCGGGGAGACCTGGTTAAACCTGTGGAGTTTAACAGGGTGCCTCAAGTGAGGCTGGTCATCAGGGAAGTCTGGGGACACTGATGCACCATCCAGCGCTCTGCCCCCAGGCTTCAGCCTCCCTTGAAATCACTTGTGCCCACCTCCAACAGGCATTCATTCTTCTCACGCACTTGCAAGATAGTCCTTTCCTATTGCATGAATTCGTCCTTTCTATGAACAGTCAAATGCTGGCTCCCTGTCATTTCTCTTTATTAGTCTTAACGCCTCTTTCCAACATAAAACAATTTGATGTTTTCTTCTTGAGCTATAAACCTCTTTGTTTATTTTCTTCTCTTACTTTCAAAGAAAATCCTTAAGACCCACTGAGGGAAACAAATGTGGTTTCCCTTGATGAGATCGTCTAACAAAATTACAAATTAAAAGATTGCTTACATAAAAATATAGTGGCATATCTCTTTGAACTTTTTAAATAATCTTCAGCTCTGAAAAAGGAACCAGGTAAAGGTATAGGACCACCAGTCCCAAAAAAGTACATATACACCCATGCGCTCTGATACTGAGAGTGGTCAGTCTGCAGGTTAGAGACTTATCATTCATTCCTATAATTTAATTACATCTTAACAAAGATTTATTGAGTGTTTACCACACTCTAAACACTATGCCATTTGCAGAGGATACTAATGTAAAATTCATCTAAGTGGTTTGATTACATTTGCCTGTTAGTCCCTTGGTGGATGAGCTCTGTGGTTTTGCTCCTAATGGTAATTTTAGCAATTGGAAAGAGTTTCAGCAGTCCTCTGGTCCAACCTTTCAATTCATTAAAAATAAATAAATAACCGTGATAGAGATTCTGTTCTTTGGGACTTCACCAGCTAGTGAGGGAGGTGATATTTTTAACAGAAACAACATTAAATAAAATGAAAAGCATCTATTCATTGGGTATATGAATAGCTCATCTGTCTGCTTCTGAAGATAAATTCGTCTACCCCCATGATGTAATAGGGGGAGAGAGTGATGAGTGTGGGGCTCAGAGAGGGGTGTTCACTTCTACCCAGGATGGTCTAAGAGAGGACATTTGAGATTCCTCCCTCCTTCCTTCCTTTCCATAATTCTCTATTACCCCCTGTATGCTAAGCACCAGGAGAGGAAATACTGGAACGCTGCGCTTGTTCTCAAATAGATTATAGTCAACCTTCATGATTTGTGTGTTCCATAATAGCAAATTCACCTACTTGCTAAAATGTACCTGTATCTCCAAAATCAATACTCCTGGTACTTTGACAGTTGTCTGTGGATGTGCACTGAGGAGGAAGGAGACGCATAACATCCCCAGCTGAGGTCAAACGAGGCAGCGCTCTGCCTTGTTTCAACTTGCGCTGTAAACAATTGTCCTTTTCACAGTCTATTTAGCACCACATTTTCCAGCTATTCATTGATGATTTCACAATTTTAATGGCCCCAAGTGTAGCACTGAAGTGCTATCCAGTGTTCCAAGCACAAGAAGGCTGTAATGTGCTTACGGAGAAACCACAAGTGTTAGATAAACTTCCTTCAGGCAACCAATGCTGCTGGTCATGAGTTCAATGTTAATGAATTGATGATCCAATATATTCAGCAAAAAAAAGAAAAAGGAAATTCATTTATCTGTATGTGAATCTGCTCCAAAAACTGCTAAAATAACTAATGGAAAAATGGCTGAACTTACAAATTCATGAAATGATGACTACTTTTTTTTTAAGTACAGTGAATAGCTATTATGAAGCTGAGAGCCAAAACAAATCTACGCAGCATGACCCAGGGTCAGGAAAATGTTAAACCCTTTCAGCTAGTGTTTCATGATATAGAAAATATGCATATAATTAATTATTGTAAGAAACATATATTAAATTGGGTACCTTGAAACATACATAAAACAAGTTAATATGCTGACCTATTGATGAAAATATGACCAGAGGCCCACAGGAATCCAACAGGGGTGTTTTCCCTAGGAACAATGTCTCAGAAACCTGCTAATGTGATGTTTGCAACAACTTTATAAAACATAACTACTGCAGGTAACAAGGCTTGACAGTAGATGTAGTATGGGAAATGGGTGATCACTCACTCTACAAAATTATCAGCATTCAGACAGCCTTGTGAACAGGCTTCTGGAGGATCAGTATAGATATGACTAGGTGACTAGCTTCCACATTTAATCTTTTTTCTGTAAAAACTTAAGAAAAATCTGTATTTTTGCTTTTGAAATTATTTGTTATGAGCAACACAATTTATGGTCAGCTATGATTTCTTCACAATTGTCAGACACTCTCAGGAAATCTTTCAAAATGAGAAAAATCTAGTCCCCCAATCATTTTCAAATGTTAGAGTTCTTTGAGTTAAAATTTTTATAGTTAATGGGGTGTCTAGGACATTATGTTTGGTAGACAAATACATAGTTATTATTGTCAATATCAATTTTGTAATTTTCTGTTTTGTAGCTAATTATACTTTGTTGTTATTTTATTTATTTTTTTTTTTCCAGTCCCTGAAAAGCTCATATTCTTTGGTTACCAAGGGTAGATCCAGGCTTTGGGGACTCTGAAGCTTATATAGTTTGGGGATTCTTTTTGGAAAAAGAACTCAAAATGACAACTCTGAAGAGGTATTGTTAGCATGTAGGTTAATCCTCCTCTGACAGGCTGTTAGCACCTGTGGGTGAGACATCCTCTGGACAGCACTGCGGCCCAGGAAGACCAAGGAGGAGGCTGTAGTTCAGGGGAAAGATCAAAGTCCACACTTGAGGGGGCGGGGGAGGGGTGCGAGAGCCGCAAGAGATAGCGAGAGGTTGATCTGACAGGACCTGGTATCTGATGAGGACATTATCAGAGGGTATCAAGAATGCAGACTGTGGGGATGAGCTGATGAGTCAGAAGAAGGACTGCACAAGGGGATGTGGGTGGTTTGACGGAGCAGGTATGGAAGAGCACTGAAGCAAGCGCAGGCTCTTTTGGAGTTCAGGGCCCCATTTGACCTTAAAGGTCGCACCTGCATGAGGCCCTGCCAGTGACTGACTGTCAGTGCTTCGGGAGATGTGATTTCACCACGCATCCCCACTTCATCCTGGGTGTGACCACACACATCCATCCCACAGAGCCCTCGTCCCTGCCGGCACACCATCTCTGTGATCGTGAAAGATCCCACACTCCCTGCTCAGCTGCTCCCAAGCCTGTTACCCAAGGAAAAAGACTCCTTTCTAGAGAAGGGCTCTCGTTCTGTTTCTCCACTGAATTCACTCTAACTCCTCTCCAGCTAACCTTTTTCAGGCTTTAGTAAAATAGATGTTGACCTTCCGGGTAAGATTTGAATATTCTCACCCAGTCACAGGAGTCGCAGAATGAAAAAGACAAAACCATGTGTTCTCCTTGCCGTGACTGCTAAGATTCAGTTCCAGTGCTGGGGAACCTGGGGGAGGGGCTATCAATTGAGACTCTCTTCCTGGAGAGGAGGGTCTGGGGCAGCCTGGGGACATCCTGACGTTTGCAAAATCCCACTTGACAACAGTCCTGCTCTCTAACACCATGAACGTGATGATCTTTATTTTTATCTCTATGGGGAAACTGAGGCCCAGAGAAGTCACATGACTTCCCAAGGTCACAAAGCTAGGAGACAGCACAGTCAAAACCAGAACCCACACCTCGTGAGCCCTGAAACGAACCAGTTTTTTCTACACACCCTGCAGAGGACCCAGTCCTCCCGTCTCACCGCAGTTCTTTGGAGCATTGTATAACACCAGCTTAAGGTTTTGAAGCACCTTCCATTCTATTTGTATATAAAACAACTCTGATTTCTGCTTTGCTCCAAGGGTAATAATTTTCCCGCTAATTTTTACTTCTTGTTCTGAATCTTCAGAGACAATCCTGCTACCCAATTTAATCTCAAGACTCACATGAATTCCCAGGACGTGAAGGCAGCCATAGAGAAGATTTCTCAGAGAGGAGGGTTGTCTAATGCAGGTACATGTCTCATATCTGTCTAATGTCTAATCCGGATTCAAATCTTCTTGCTACTATGGTTCTCCTTCTATGTGGTCGTCTGCTAGCATCCTAGATAGAAAATGGGAAAATCCAAATAATCCATTAAGAAATGAGTCACAGAATATCTGTATCTTTCCTAAAGTATTACTGTGGACTGGGGGCAAAAATCATTATTGCACACATGCTGGAGAGTTCTTAACAGGCCTGTTTCCTCAGGATAGCAGTTTTCTTTAGGACAAGTAGGACTACTGTTACAACTACCATGACAAGTCTACAAGTCATCAACTATTTTTCTTTGTATCTTGTAAAAAAGAAATTTTTAATAAAAATAAAATGTGGGCTTCCCTGGTGGCTCAGTGGTAGAGAATGTGCCTTCCAATGCAGGAGACACAGGTTGAATCCACATGCTGTGGCACAATTGAGCCTGTGTGCCACAACTATGGAGCCTGTGTCCTAGAGCCCTCGCTCTGCAACAAGAGAACCCACTACAATGAGAGCGCCACAACTAGAGAACAGCCCCCACTTTCCACAACCAGAGAAAAGCCTATGCAGCAGCGAAGACTCAGCACAGCCAAATAACACATTAAATAAATAAAATTTAAAAATAAATAAAATTTGTAACTGGCTCCATTCAGGGAGCTTCACAGTGCTCCTTGGGAATCTTTCTCTAATCAGCTCCTGTTACAGTGATAACTGTGCAGAGACATGGTCTTTGTTTCAGGCTGTGTCTCCTGTGATATCTGAGCCTTCCTGGTGGTGATGGGGTGGAGTGGGAGTGACCAAAATCCCAAGGTCAAAATCTAGTCTTCAGTGGGGCAGGTGCAGAAACTCCATTTTATCAGTTCCCCAGAGGTGACCAGGCATTAGAAGTAGTTTCACACTAGCTGAGTTCAAAGGTCACTGATGAGCCCATGCCAGGACACCAATTTATAAATGGTAGTCTGACTTTGGGCTTCCCTGGTGGCACAGAGGTAAAGAATCTGCCTGCAATGAGGGAGACCCGGGTTTGATTCCTGGGTGAGGAAGAGCCCCTGGAGAAAGGAATGGCTAACCACTCCAGTATTCTTGCCTGGAGAATTCCATGGACAGAGGAGCCTGGTGGGCTAAGGTCTGACTTCGGGGCACTGGAAGGACTGCCCACTCCTCAGGGACCCTGTCTGGACCATCACAATCCAGGGAAACAGAGATGTGAGCCATGTTGTTTGCATGGAATGTGCACAGGGAATACAGCTATCTTTGAAGGAGCATCTTCAAAATTACAGTACATCTGATTTATTACTTCCCTCCCCACTTCAATGTATATCTATTTAGACTAGTACATTAGTATCTAGCAAATGAAGAGCCCTTGATCTCTGAACAATTCTAAGTAAACACCATCCAAGTCACTTGGATCCGAGACACCAAATCGGATATTGCCGCATCACAAACATGATAGAGTTGATGTCTGATTTGTTTTCAATTTGATACTTAGATCAGTGAAATTCCAGTAAGGTATCATGAGTAAAACTCTAAAACTTCAGAAGACATCCTGTGTCCTTGATGGGATTAGAGAGGTGTTTTAATAAAATCAGTATATGTTTTTTCAGTAGGTAACATGTTCTGTATCTGCCCTGTATTGATGGGGGTTTGAGTTTAGAGAACAAAACCCATTCCAGCTGATTTAAGCCAAAAGGGATTTATTTCAGGGTATGAAATGGTTTTGAGATTTACTGAAGAAATGTACTCTAGGCTGAGTTTTCAAAGATGGCTTCCAAAGGCTTCCTTCAGATCCAGGACCTCCGAGGAGCCATGCCTCTTCCAAGACCAGAAAATTGCTTTCTTGATTCTACCACTGCAGCCTCTTTAGGAATCTGCTTCAGCCAGGAAGCCATGCTGATTGGGAAACTTCTGCTACAACTGCCAGCTCCAAAAACATGCCTTGCCTGCTCCATTCACAGCCACAAAATACATGCTTTGCAACCTACCTTCTCAACACCAAGGAAGCTGGTCACCAATCATGGCACCTCTGCTAACACTACCCTGGAAAAGTCAAACATTCTACAGACTTGGCTACAGAAATAGCAGAATCAAAAGTACCACCTCTACCTTATGTTTATCTTCTAAACTTCATGTATGTATCATCTCATGAAACTAAAACACATCCAGAACTCTAGCTGCAAGGAAATCTCAACAATGCAATTTTCAGATTTCTAGCCTCTGCTTTCAAGACATGCTAGAAGGCTAATGGAACATGTATTGAGTGCAAATTGACCATGGCCTCCAGATTTAAGACTGGGTGAGGTCAAGGTGATCTTCTGAGGGCTCCCTGCACTCTGCCTACAGGCAGCTAACAGTAAACCAGAGGGGACTGCTGGGTGCCTTGGGCCTTGAGGGAAATCAGCTTTGGCTGTGAAAACAGTTCCCTGAGGTTTCCACGCTGCCAGCTCACATGGGTTCTCCAAGACACTTCTCCAGCAACTGAGTATGTAACCATTTGATCCTTTCACTTGACAGATAAGATTGTACTAGTCAGTGATGCCAAGAAGTTGGCCAAAACCAAAGAAGCCTTGAGTGTAATGTTATAACCCTAATGTCTTAAGAATGTAGCTCTTCAACAAAGGAAACTATAAGCAAGGTGAAAAGACAGCCCTCAGATTGGGAGAAAATAATAGCAAATGAAGCAACAGACAAAGGATTAATCTCAAAAATATACAAGCAACTCCTCCAGCTCAATTCCAGAAAAATAAATGACCCAATCAAAAAATGGGCCAAAGAACTAAACAGACATTTCTGCAAGGAAGACGTACGGATGGCTAACAAACACATGAAAAGATGCTCAACATCACTCATTATCAGAGAAATGCAAATCAAAACCACAATGAGGTACCATTACACGCCAGTCAGGATGGCTGCTATCCAAAAGTCTACAAGCAATAAATGCTGGAGAGGGTGTGGAGAAAAGGGAACCCTCTTACACTGTTGGTGGGAATGCAAACTAGTACAGCCGCTATGGAGAACAGTGTGGAGATTCCTTAAAAAACTGGAAATAGAACTGCCATATGACCCAGCAATACCACTTCTAGGCATATACACTGAGGAAACCAGATCCGAAAGAGACACGTGCACCCCAATGTTCATCGCAGCACTGTTTATAATAGCCAGGACATGGAAGCAACCTAGATGCTCATCAGCAGACGAATGGATGAGGAAGCTGTGGTACATATACACCATGGAATATTACTCAGCCATTAAAAAGAATTCATTTGAATCAGTTCTAATGAGATGGATGAAACTGGAGCCCATTATACAGAGCGAAGTAAGCCAGAAAGATAAAGACCATTACAGTGTACTAACACATATATATGGAATTTAGAAAGATGGTAACGATAACCCTATATGCAAAACAGAAAAAGAGACTCAGATGTATAGAACAGACTTGTGGACTCTGTGGGAGAAGGCGAGGGTGGGATGTTTCAAGAGAACAGCATCGAAACATGTATATCTAGGGTGAAACAGATCACCAGCCCAGGTTGGGTGCATGAGACAAGTGCTCGGGCCTGGTGCACTGGGAAGACCCAGAGGGATCGGGTGGAGAGGGAGGTGGGAGGGGGGACCGGGATGGGGAATACATGTAAATCCATGGCTAATTCATTTCAATGTATGACAAAAACCACTGCAATGTTGTAAAGTATTAGCCTCCAACTAATAAAAATAAATGGAAAAAAAAAAAAGAATGTAGCTCTTAACTTTTATTTAGACTGAGGATCCCTTTGAAAGCTATGGCCTTTGTGGCCAAATTAATACTTATATACACAAAATACTGTGTATAAATCCAAGGGATTTGTGGATACTCACCCCCAGTGCCCAGAGGTCCACAGAGGCCAGGTTAAGAGCCCTGCCTCTGGGGTGATCAGTCATCCCAGTTTGCCCAGAGGCATATGGGACTTTCAGGGCTAAACCTGGGAAAGTCCCAGAAAACTGGTATAGTTTCTCACCCTCCTTGATTCCAAAAATCTCCTGAAGCCCAAGACAAGTGTTAAGTATACGCTTGAGAAAGGCATGCTGGGAAGCCGCGTCATCCCTCACAACTGCTGCGCTCAGTTGAGGCAGGCTGTCATCATGGAAACCTAGTCTGGAGTGACCTATCCAGGCCCATGTGGCCAGTAAAAAGCACAGCCAGGTTAGAACACATCTCTCAGTTCTTGGTGTGGTGCCCTCCAGGCCAGCCAGACCTGTGTCTCTAGTGGAAATGACACGAGAGTCCACTGAATCCAGAATACACCCTTCCACACCTGGAGCGTCGAGCTCACTGCAAGCCCTCAAAGTCCAAGGAGAGGGCTGCCCCACACTTTTGGAAACAGCTCCGGGGCTTAGTGAGGTCAGCTCCAGCACCCAGGCAAAGAACAGACCCTATCGTGCCCATGAAAAGCTTTTCTCACCTGCATTCTGGTCTCGAAAACTTTTTTAATTTTTTAATTTTTAAAATTGAAGTATTGTTTATTTACAGTATTATGTTAGGTTCAGGTGTATAGCAAAATGATTCTTTTTTTTCAGATTATTTTCCATTACAGGTTATTACAAGATATTGAATATTGTTCCCTGTGTTTTACAGTAAATCTTTGGTGTTATCTGTTTTATATATAGTAATTTGCATCTGTTAATCCAATATTCCTAATTTATTCCCCTCCTCCTTTCTTCCTTGGTAACCATGTGTTTGTTTTCTATGTGAGTCTGTTTCTATTTTGTATAGAGTGTCATTTATATTAATTTTCAGATTCCATGTAAGTGTTATCATAGACTATTTGTCTGTCTCTGTCAGACTTACTTCACTTAGTATGATAATTTCTAAGTCCATCCATGTGGCTTCAAATGGTATAAAACCTTTTCAAAACAAGAGAAAATTAGAAGTTGAAGCTCAAAATGAAGCTGGGGAGGGAAATGGCTAGTGGTATATGTTCCATAATACCGTGAATGTACTTAAAACCACTGAACTGTACACCCAAAACTAGTTAACATGATTCAAAAAGGAAACAAGCCAGCAAGAGAGGGAATGGATATTTTTCTGCACCTCTTTGTGCTGCTCTGATCTGTTCCATAATCACTCCAAGCATGAGTTTTCTTTTTCTTCCAGGCCGGGCCATCTCCTTTGTGACCAAGAACTTCTTTTCCAAAGTTAATGGAAACAGAGGCGGTGCTCCCAACGTGGCCGTGGTGATGGTGGATGGCTGGCCCACAGACAAGGTGGAGGAGGCCTCGAGGTTGGCGAGAGAGTCAGGAATCAACATTTTCTTCATCACCATTGAAGGTGCCTCTGAAAATGAGAAGCAGTACATGCTGGAGCCCAACTTTGCAAACAAGGTACGCCTTCTATGTCAGGCATGTAAGTGGAAAACCCGCCCAACGTAAGAACGCCCTACACTTTGCACAGCTGTAGCAGCCATCCAGGCTGGGTCTCTTGTGTTTTTCAAATGGATGTTAAGTTCATTTCCAGGCAGGAGGGCCTCCCAGTGAGAGACTAGTGAGTCTGGAACCTGGAGTTACCCTCTCAAAGCAATGCCCCACAACCCACCACACACCTGGTGAACTGAGGCCTGGCATCGGCACCTTGGGAGGAGCAGGGTCCCCAAAGCCTCACATCAGAGGCTTCCCTGAGCGCCTCTCATAGCCCCAGGGGACCGCAGCTGGGCAGCCCAGCCAGTCCTCAAGCGAGCACACACATGGGCACACATGCACCACAAGTCAACTAATCTGAGAAACAAGAAAAGGAAAGGTACTAAACCACACTAGGGAGTGCAGGCTTTCAAACTCAGCTGCCCCTGAGTTCTGTGGAGATGCCCAACAGGACATGGAGGCAGAACAGATGGGAATCTAGGCCTGTTCCCCCAGTGCAGCTCACTTTGCGTATGCTTTATACAGTAGACCCCACATAAGCCTTTCTCCAAAGACAGGACCCCAGGTTTAAAAAGGAAAGGAGGACAGGATGGGGGATACCCCCAGTGTTAGCATCCTGTCTCCAGATCTCCTGGGGCTCAGCTCCCGGCACAGACCCTGCACTTCATCATCATTCTTGTCTCCCTTAAACTCTAGGACACAGTGTGGCTCTTACTTCACTTGCTCCCTCCTCTTTTCCGTCTTGTACCCAAAGCGTAGACTTCCTTGGCTCTCTCCTATGTTCTTACTAGTTTTTCCTCCCTCCAGAATCTCTCCCAGGGCCACAGCTTCAGCCTTCACTCACAAGCAGGGACACACGTGTGTGTCTCCCGCCCTGCTTTCTCTGGAGCTCAGTAGCCATCTGTTTCCAGCTGATTGACTAGTCTCCACCCGATGACCTGAAGAACCTTAAATCCTACATGCAACATGCCAAGTGCATCATCTTTCCCACTCAAATTCCTTCTTCCTCTGGACTGTGCGTTAGCCCCACAGCTGTCCCAGACACCCGGAGTCACCCCAGAACAACTTGTCAGCTCCCATGTCACGTAGCTCACAGCTGCCCAGTCTTTCCCACGCCCAGTGCCACCTCCCCAGTTCAAGCGAGTATTGATACTTTACATCTGTCCTTTCTCCCTTCTGGATCACCCCAGTTTGTTTTAGATTTCACAGTAAATCTCGTGCTTTCTCCCAGTTCCACAGGGTCCTTGCTCCAAATCCTTCTCCACTTGCTGTTACTCCTGAGGTCTTCTGGAGGGTGGTCTTAACCCAGCTTCCTAGCTCCAGCCACCCGATGTCCTGCCCATGCCAAACACCACCCTCTCTCCTGTTGTGACTGACTCAGACTGCCTGGTGGGGATCCCCGCCCCCCCACCCATTGGCTAGAATTCAGCTCAGCCTCGACACCCATCTCACATGGGGCCTAAGAAATGGAAAGTTTTGTGAACCCCATTAGGTTTTTACAAACCAATTAAAGTACATTTCCCAGGACATTTTAAAGTCATTTCTTGTTTTCAAATAATGTTTTAATTATACACCTTCATCCAAAGCCAGCAGGTCTGTGATTCTCTCTGTGACCTCCAGAGAGGCAGTGGCAAAGGAAATGGTCACTTTCAGGAGCACACCAATCAGCTTGCTCAATGTTTATTTGCAGGCACCTTGAGTTTTTTCTGGAACATGCTTGGGCACAAGTAAACATTCATTTGCCTGGAGGCAGGGTTGTCCAGGGAACAGAGCTGGGGTTCTGAGGGCAGAGAGATTTGAGTTGTGACCTCAAGGATGTCACTTCACAACTGGCCCTCAGTTTGTTCCTTCATGACAAGTGGGTTAGAATTCCACCCTGTAGGGTTAAGGTGAGCAGGGGGTGGGTAGTGAAATGTTGTTAAGAACACCTAGTTGGGTACCGGACACAGGTGTGGAACCCCCTTCTTGCCAGATGCAGGTCTGCTCTCTTCTTAAGCTTCATCTCCTATGTGCCTTTTGTTTTCCCAATCAGAACAAAAGCTTTCTTTAATCCTCGTGGGCTGGTGCCCACCAATGCCAGCCTTATGGCTGGCTGCCAGTACAAACCAGGGGCCTGGAGAGGCATAAATATGAAGCTGAAACCAGCAAGTCCCCTCTCCCTGTGGACTTGCTTGACTGATGGTTCTCCATGAAAGCAGAGACCTGGCTGAGGGTGGGGGAGTGGGTCCAGAGATAACCTGAGGGGCCTCCGCCCAGTGAGCACCCGACTGGGTGAACCGAGGCCTTGGGTGAGACCCCTGACCTGGCGGGTGGCTGCCCCTGTTTTCCAGGCTGTGTGCAGAACCAACGGCTTCTACTCACTCACCGTGCAGAACTGGTTCAGCCTCCACAAGACCGTGCAGCCCCTGGTGAAGCGGGTCTGTGACACCGACCGACTGGCCTGCAGCAAGACCTGCTTAAACTCGGCCGACATCGGCTTCGTCATTGATGGCTCCAGCAGCGTGGGGACCAGCAACTTCCGCACAGTCCTCCAGTTTGTGGCCAACCTCAGCAGGGAGTTTGAGATTTCAGACACGGACACGCGGATCGGGGCCGTGCAGTACACCTACGAGCAGCGGCTGGAGTTTGGGTTCGATGAGTACAGCACCAAATCTGATGTCCTCAACGCCATCAAGAGGGTGGGGTACTGGAGTGGCGGGACCAGCACAGGGGCTGCCATCAACTATGCCCTGGAACTGCTCTTCAAGAAGTCCAAGCCCAACAAGAGGAAGCTAATGATACTCATCACCGACGGGAGGTCCTATGATGACATCCGGATACCAGCCATGCTCGCCCATCACAAGGGTGAGTGAGCTGGTCGTGCTGACCAGTCTGGGGCTGAGCAGACCTCTGGGGCTTGGTGGGTTGTCTCTCTGGGCACTGGTTTTGTCTAGTACCTACTAAAATGTTCACAACCCTAGGGCATTAGGGTGTAGTTCAACACCACAGGGCCCTCTGGGTAGTGAAGAAGGGTCAGGCAAGGACATGAGGGTAGTTTCCACAGCATCAAGGCCTGTGGATGCTACCCCTTTTCTTTACGTCCCACACTCTGAGGCTGCACACACCAACAGGTGATGCATTAAAGAGGAATTTGACTCCTCACTCTAATCTCCACTGAAGACCACAAAATTGTGTTAGAAACTTGAAGAAAATGGACGTTTTAAAAGAGACGTATAATATGATCATATAAGCAATTGCTAACCAGATATTGGAGGTCTGGGGGAAGACCTCAAAGAAATTTTCACTCAAAATATTTAAAGAGATATTTCCATATGAAATTTGGAAGAGGATAACAGAAAGTTTAAAACCATGAAAAATGAGCAAAATGTTTTTTTGTAAATGTTCAAAAAATCAGTCATATGTAATGCCTTTTGGACAAAATCTATATACAATCCTTGTTTTGATAAGTGCCATAAAATACAAGGAAAATACAAACAACCTGGAAAAAACCCCTAGGGACAGCAATACTAGTAATGACAATAAAAGTAAACAGAGTCGTCAGTGAACCAAAAATCTGTAGTAAGTACTACTGAACAAGACTTACCTATTGTGGGAGAAGTTTTTTTTGTGTGTGTGTGCACATGTATGCACATATGTGTGCGTGCACTAAGTCTCTGCCTCCATTTAATCTGGGTATGTTTGCAGGATTGCCCATATTCTTTAAAGCTGCTTTTAATCCTTCCTTAAACAAGGAGGGATATAAAAATTAGCCTTCAGGAACCAGTATTTCTGGCTTCTGGAAATGTACCCAGACACCAGGTTCAGACAGTCTTCCCAGTGATTTACCCATAGGGAGCACGCATAATGGTGGGATGGCAGGTGGCCCATGTGCCAGCAGTCACAAGGCCCCTTGGGCCCGTCAGCAGAGTGAAGATGGCTTATGGTTTAGAAGCAAACTGCCCAAAGTTCCAAAGTGAGTGGGCAGAGCCAGGTGGGGCAACTCTTGATGACAAGCCCAAGATCGTCCGTCCCCAGCTTGTGTTCAGCTCCTGTCACTCATTTTTCTCGATGCCTCTCCTTGAGCCTCACCCAGAGGGTATCCTTGACCCACTGGTCAAGAGAAAGTGAAGACCTAGGAAGATGTCCCAGGCATTGTGAGGGCTATCGTGTTCTGGGTATCTTTAAACAACAAGGACCAACAGATGCAAGTGACATGGAAGCCATGAGCACTGGGGTGTCCCTGGGGGTGCCCAAGGCAAGGCTGGGGGACTATCTATCAGAATTGCCAGTAGAAAGTTCTCTATAGTAAGGCTGGACTGCAGGATGTGAAAAGCTAAATCTCTAATATTGGTCTTGTTGTCTTTACTTGTAGGGCAGGGGTGGGAGAGGGCAGCCCTTCCATCTTTGAATAGAAACGAGATCTTGGTGGGTCTAAGCCCTGTTCTGCAGCTAGACTCTTCCTGTGACCACTTGGCAGCATTTTTAAAGCCCAACCCTGACTTTGCCCAATGTAGATAATGTTCAGAGAAAAGACACTGGAAAGGTGAGAAAAGGACCTGGCAGCTTAATGAGCCACAATAGGAGAACAGCTTAGCCCAGAACCACCTGTGGTGTGGACGGCGCTCCCATCAGCAGGAAAGGGAACCTGGAAGATGCTAGAGAAAGCCATGGCACTGCGGGTGGTGGGGAGGTGGGGGAATGGAGCCTGGGCAGAAGCACCCCCCCCAGGCTCTGCCCGCCATCTCATGGCCATCTTGCTTATCTCACCCTGGTCAGCCTGGAGGGGGCATGGGAATAGGTCAGCACCTGCCCACCAGCTGCCCCAGTCAAGAACCACACTCTGGGCAGTCTGCCTCCCCACTAAGGACAGATGCCTGCTCTCTGAATTCCTCTTCTCCCTGAGGCATCTCAGTCCATGGTTACAGCCCAAACCCTTTAATCCTACTATATTCATTCCCCTTTCTATCTAGACAAGCTCCAGTCCCTCCCTTTCTAAGATGAAGTCGCTCAGTCGTGTCCGATCTTTGCGACCCCCATGGACTCTAGGCTACCAGGCTCCTCCGTCCATGGAATTTTCCAGGCAAAAGTGCTGGAGTGGGGTGCCATTTCCTTCTCCAGGGGATCTTCCCGACCCAGGGTTGGAACCCAGGTCTCCCTTCCTAAAGAAGGAAATAATTCCCTTTGATCCCATGTTCTGGCTCTCTTTACAGCCACATGCCTACTGCACCATATCTTCATTTTCTCTTTCAATCTCAACTCGCAGCAATTCACTTGGTTTCTTTCTTTGGCTTTGACTCCCCCGACACTTCCCCTTCCAAGCTACCAGCATCTTGTTCATGTTTCTTCTGAATTCAATGAATCCCTTTTCCCTTTCATCTCCAATGATCCCCCTGGAGCAGTCAGTGCTGTTAGCTCCTTCCTTATCTGTAAATACTTACTTTTCTGTGGTGATGGAGCAGATGCTGGCTCGCCAGCTCTCCAGGTCCTTGTGCAAGTTTTCCTGCTCAGGAAATCCTCGCGGTTGGAGCCTATGGCTTGTAAAATCACCCTCAAGCCTAAAGTGATTCAGCTCCACTGGTTTTGTTTTTTGTTTTTGTGTGTTTTTTGGCCAAGGTTTGCGCAAAGAGAGGGCTTATCTGCAAGGCAGGCAGGAGAACCAGTCACAAGTCTACCTCCCCAAAGGCAAGGGGCTCAGGGCTTTACAGGATAGCAAAGGAGGGGGGCATCTGAGTTGTGGGGAGGAAAACATATGGAATTGTTCTGCGCAGGCGTAACTAAGCTATAGGCCTCTGCACGTGTTCTAAAGGCCACTAAGTGGGCATTCACGCATGCCAGGTTGAGGGGATAAGTGGTCCTATCCAGTCTTAACCAGCGCAGCTGAACTAGACACAGCTGAGTCTCAGCTCAGCTGACTCCAAGTTTCTAGAGAACAACTCAGGCAAACATCTTATTGGTGAGGCTACAAGCCACTTGCAGGACATGCAAGTCTTAAAACAATCTTGATTAGTGAAGGCAGGTGGATTTGACTACCCATCGTTTCACTTACATTTAAAAGATCTCGAACTGGTTTTTGAGGCAGTGAAGACTCAGTTTTGCGTGACTTTACACACAGAGCAGGTGTGTACCATGGGGTTTAATCTGCAGGGCACCCAAGTTTTGCTTGTCCCAGATATCATTCTCTTGCTGCTCCTCATGAAATTCTTATCATGGATTGACTCCATTCTTCTGTTTTTTTTTTCTCCAAAGGATGGTAAACCCCTGAGAGAGAGCAACTGTATCAATTTCACTGCTGCTGGCATACAGCACATGTTCATGCTTTGGGCGCATTTCTGATTTTGGGTTTGGGTGCATTCAAGCACAATGGCCAGCAGGGTGGCAGGAAGGCAAGGATGGATGTCACACTTTTCCTGGGGACATTCACTTCATCCACCCTTTGTCCCCACAGGCGTGATCACCTATGCCATAGGAGTGGCCTGGGCTGCCCAGGACGAGCTGGACGTCATCGCCACTCACCCTGCCAGGGACCACGCCTTCTTCGTAGACGAGTTTGACAACCTCTACAAAATCGTCCCCAAGGTCATTCAGAACATCTGCACAGAGTTCAACTCACAGCCTCGGAACTGAGTTCAGAGCAGGCCAAGCACCAGCAAAAGCTACTCTCCCGACTGGCTCTGGGATGACCCCCGACACTTTACGGGGCGCACGTGGGACAGCCAGGAAGGCAGGGCTTGCAAACCACGTCTTGTTATTTTTCTTTGCCTGGGTGGTTTTTCATACTTGGAGTTAGAAAGATGATCATTAATTTGTAGGATGAGCCAAAAAGATACCTTGCTTTGGGAATGCTGGGGATTTTACATTTTGAGAATTGTTTTTAAAATAAATATTGAGAATAGAACAAAGCACTTACAACAGGCTTACCTAGAGCTTTTATGAGATTTTTAACATCTTCATCTCCAGTCAGAAATCTGTTAACTCCCCACAAGTCTCATTTTTGTCATGACAATATAGGAGTTGGTTAATTGCATGTTTGAAAGGATTTCATGCAATCACTTTGTGTTCTGGGGCGTGGCCACAGGGTTGCAGCAGGGCCACCCTCTGTTCATGCCCCAGAGCCCCTCCCCACACTCTCCTGGCTCAAGGTGATGGCGCACCCACGTGGGTGCAAGGACAACGGGCCGCCGCACGGCTGCTCCTGGCTTACCTCCGTCTTCTCTGTTACAGGAATCACTGTGTTCCTGCAGGGAATGGCCCTGGAGCACCACACTGACCTGGCTTCTTCTCTTTTTTTCCCCGTATTCTTTTTTTTTATTGGAGTATCATTGCTTTACCATGCTGTGTTGGTTTCTGCTGCACAACGATGTGAATCTGCTATGTGTATGCATAAGTCCCCTCCGTCTTGAGCCTCCCACCCTTCTAGTGACCTGGCTTTAGAGGCATCAGGCTGGTACAGCCGCTGTCAGCCCAAGCTGCTTGTTAGAATTGTTTTAGAGTAAAATGCTCATTCCCAGGTCCCATCCCAACCTATGAAAGCTGAGTCTTTGGGACGAAAACCGGATGGATCATCAGCAGGTCTGACAAGCTCTCTGATGATACTGATGATGTGCTGCCAGGATGGAGAACTACGAGCTGCCTCAGAGGGTCAGCGTTAGAGCTGTTACATGGGAGAGTCCCCGTTTATGTGCCTGCTATTCTGCGTCCCATTTAGTTTAACATCCATCTTGGATATTTCATTTGTTAACTAGATACTACTATTAATAGTTCCATTCAAATAAGCTGGCCTGGGTTTGGTTGAACCCCACTTTTTACTTCCAAGGACTTATTCATTAGGATATGAAATTACATATGCGATAGGGAGCATTCAGAAGCATTCTAAATAGCTATACCCTACTTGACAAGTTATATTCTGTAAAAATGTATTTTGGAGAATGGTACTCTGAATACAAGCCAAAAGATAGTACCTGTATTAATACTTGGGGCAAGATATTTATGTAAGAAATTTTGAATCAAAAACAGTATCCATTTAGTAGAATTTGTGTAGAATTTACCAATCTCTCAATACCCGAGGGGTTATCGGCAATTAAAAATGTTGTGGCCTACCAAGAAAGGTGTCAATGATTTCAGATTTATTAACCATAAACTTTACTTCAAAATCAATTGCAAACAGATTTGTTCAAAAACTTCAGAATATGACAACTAGCTTCAAAAAGTAAATTCTTCATTAAGGTGCCAGTGACAGATTTAGCTAGGAAACTAATTACAAGACATAAGTACTAGGGGCAATTATTCTGCCTATTATTTTGAATGTGCAGGTAATTGATATATTTTTCAATGTTGCTTCAATGTACACAAGTTAATTTTTTAAAGAAAAGTCTTATTTTGGAAAAGAGCTTTGGAATATAATTATTTTACAGAGGCTTTAATGTGAAAGCCAATTTGTCATCAATAAGTAAATATTTCCAAAAATGATATAATTTGATTATTTTGGTGTTCTCTTTCATTTACTGTACAAGTTTGGAAAATAAGTTATATGATCACCCTAGCTATAGGTATCATAATTTTGAAGATAAATGAAACCTTTTCAGACATGTCCATTGTTGATATGTTGTCACCTACTTGAGTATATGCTCACTTCTAGACCACCAGGAGTGAGGTTGTTGAGGCCCTCAGAGGTCACAGGGTTGTTAGAATTGCCCATGTGGATGTTCAAGTCTCGAGAGATGGTGACGGTGTCAGGATGGAGAGAGACGCAGTGAGCCAAGCTCACGGTGCCCAGGGGGATCAGAGGAGCCCAGGAGGTTGGGAGAGGACCGCAGTGACAAGGCAGTAGGGCCAAGGCCAGGTTCAAGGGGGCTGGGAGCAGACCTGTCCTGGCTCTAGGCCTGAGACGTGCGGTGAGAGAGCACGAGCAGCCCTGTCTCAGGAGGTGGAGGAAGAGAACCAGACTTCAGGTGAGAGCAGGCAAGAAGGGCTGGGGGCCTCTGGGCAGCCAAGAGGAGCAGGGAGGCTGCGGTGTGGTTGGGGCTGGGTCAGGTCTGGGTTCGCACAGCTCAGGTGGAGACAAGCGTCCTGTGGTGATGGGTGCCATGGGAGACTTGCATATAAAAGCTGCTTTACTCAACCTAAACTGTGCCTGACACCACTGGGCCAGCACTGATATCAGAACACCAGAAATAGAACTTTGTAGACAATCTACATCAAACCCTTCAATGACACAAAAAAAAAAAAAAAAAAGGGAACGTAGGCCTTAATAGGATTGTGCAGATACAAAAGGACAGAACCAGAATTCAGATCTCTTGTCGTCCAAATTCCTGATTCACTTGACAGACTTTTGGGGGCTCAAAACCCCACCCCCTCTCCCATGCCCATCCCACAAACACACCTGCTTCTGCACACTTGGGGCCTCTGGTCCAGCCTTGTGGAGCACTCTGGGTCCTGCAGATATGAGCCAATCTCCTAAGTCAATTCGATCATTCATTCCGAGGTCTCAGCAGAGAACTTCTGTGCCCTTTCTTCTCTAAATCAACCAAAACAAGTGGAAGTGTCCGGCCAGCCTCTCTGGATGTAGTGATGTCTAAACTCCACTCAACTGGCCCACTTCTTGGGAGTTAAGGGTCTTTGAGATTTCTTGGTCATACATTTTGCAACAAGGCTTTGCTAAAAATTTTCAAACAAACTGACAGGGTTCAGATATTTTGTGTTTCTCTGGGCTCTTTAATCCCTTTGATCAGGACAAAACCTCCATGAAGCAAGTTTCCCAGCATAATCTCAGGAGGACCAGCATGGTTTTATAAAGATGATGATGTTTCTGTGGTCAAGGATTTTACAGCCTAAAAGAGGAATTTTCGGAAAATAATGTTATTTTTCAGTCACAATCCTAAGAAAAGTTCTCCCCTTGGGTTACCGATATATAAATGTAGTAAGTAGGAAATATGCTTGAAATGAATTCAATTACTTTAGAAAGAAATATTTATTCAACTAATGGCTTTGAAGAATTCACAGTCCAGTGAGAAATCCCACACAAATGAACAATTAAAACGGTAAAATTACTATCATGGGATTATGCACAAAGTGCATGACTGGTGATTGCAAACAACCTCATGAGAGAAATCGTGAAGTATTTAATAATTAGTGTTTGCTGCATGCCGGGCACTGTTCTAAGGACTTCACGTGTATTAACTCACCCATCCCTATGATTTATGGCAAGAAGTACTATTATTATTCTCACTTTACAGATCATGTAGCTGAAGTATGAAGATGTCAAGTAACTTGCCCAAGGTCATAAGGCTGGGAGAGGCAGATCTGGAAATTAAACCCAAGTTGCTGCATGTGGGGTTCTCTAGTAAGCTTGACAATGTAAAATTTATGTATAATTCTGCTACGTGTGTGCTCAGGATCTCTTAAATGTACAAAGTGAGGAGTCTGTTAAATATCCAGTGCAAACTGTACTTCCCCCCATCACTCCTCCTGCTTCTCTGGATAGCCACCTGCCTTCATTTAAGCTGGGTGATTATAATCTACAGTCCATAGCACCTGTAGCTCCCTGAACACACTGGGCTCCTCATCCTTTGATAAACTCCTAACCATCATTCAAGTCTCAGTCCAAATGCCGTCTCCTCTTTGGAGCCTTCCCTGACTTACCCAGGTAGACTTGGGCTCTCTGGACATACAGTCCTGACCCACCTATTTTCCAGTGACCTCCTTGTCCCTTTCCCTTAGGGGACACAATTCACACATACATTATCAAGGACATGGAATACAGGGGATGAGAACTCTGAATCTAAGTTGCCTGAGAGTTCTAAGCCCTAATACAATAACCTTGGTAGAACAGGAGGCAGAGATTTTTCAGAAAGAAATGGGATATGGTGGCAAGAGAGAGGATCTACTTCCATGCAGGCTCAGCACTCTTTTGAACCCTTCTTAGGTTCATTGCTGTCTGTTACAATCACTGCCTTTCTAGGGTATCTACTCACAGAGAAACTATTCCTCACCTTACACTTTTTATGTTTCCCACAGAAATGGAAATCCCACTTTCTGTTTACCTTCCTTTCATTCAGTAAATGTGTTTTAAGCACTTATTATGTGTCAGGTATTGTGACAGCCACTGGGATACAAAGATAAATAAGACCTGGTCCCTGCCTGAGATGCTGAGGGAGGCAAGGAGGCTTGGAACAGTGTGAAATACAGAGTGACACATGAAACTTTAGGCTGAGGCAGGGGTGTCAGGAAAAGGGCTGGAGGGAGAGGCAGGGGCCAGGTCAGAGTCAGGGGGCTGTGTTGGTTCAAGTTCTCTCAGGTACAAGTAACAGAAACTCAACTCACAGTAGCTCAAGCAAAGGGGGGATTTGGTGAAGGAAAATGGAAGAACTCATGAACTCCAAGGTCAGGGAGACAGCAGAGTCTCAGAAAGGAGGGGGAGAACAAGAGCAGGACTGGAAAATCAGGTGGCCCTTTCACTCTCCTCTCCTCTAGGATGAGCTTCATCTGGAAATTGTTGAACAGCTCTGCAGAGTGGGAAGTGAGTGACGCTGTCCACACGTTAAAGACTGACCTCTCGATGAGGCCTCCTTCAGCAGGGCCACCCAGCACCCCAAACTGACACAGCGGGCTGGGGAGAAGCATTTACATCGTTCTGTCCGATCACCTTACAGTTAGTAAACTTTCGAGGTTCCTGGATTGTCTTGAATGCTGACAAATGGATGCCCACGAGTTCCTGAGTTTGGAAAACCAAATGCAGGCTGGGTAATAGTCTTCCAGTTCTGCAATCTCCCTCTGTTTTGCTTAGAAATTTTATCCAAGAAAACCCATAACTGTCAAAGACTCCTTTTCACGTCTCTTGGCCTCAATAGCTACAACATATTACTTGTTTATAGGCCATTAGCCATTGAAAACTGTTCAGATCATCAGGGAGGCCGAACTGCTGCCTCTGGGATCCACCTCTACTCTTAGAACGAAGATGTAATTGAAGAGAAAAGTACTCTTTAAATAACCATCTACATGGCAAACAAATAAGATTGAAAGATTGCAATTTCAATGAAGGCTTTGCTTTTTTTCTTTTTTTTTTAATCTTCCATAATTGAAAAATACTGAGCTTAACTTTATCCCTGCCATTCCTCTTATACTAACTGGGCCCACAGGCAATAAGCTGCCCAAGTAAGCAAATACTATACTCAGCTTGGCACCTGAAACTTTCATATAAAAAATACAATTCCAGCTGAATAGCTCCTTTCTGAAACTCCTCTAGTTTCACACTTGGTTGAGGTGAGCAGGGTGTATTCAGGTTAATGGCAAATCGGAATCTAGGTTCTCAACAAAGAGCCTTTACATGACTGCCCAGGGCACAGAAACTGCAAGGCTCTGGAAGCCATGGAAACTGTGCAAACATCAAAACAAGACCCAAAAT